TCCCAATTGGAGAGGAAGAAGTAAAATTATCCATGTTTGCAGATGACATGACTTTTTTTTTTTTGCATTTAGGAAATCCTAAGCAATCCACTAAAAACTATTAGAAATAATAAACAAGTTAGGCAAGATTGTAGGATACAGAATTAATATAAAAATTGATTGTATTTCTATACACAAGCAATGAACATTCTGCAAATGAAATTAAGAAAACAATTCTATTTACAAAACCATCTAAAATAATAAAATACTTAGAAATAAACTTAAGAAAATAGTGCAAGACTTGTGCACTGAAATCTTAAAGAAAGTTTTCATAAGTAGAAAGATATCCCATGCTCATGAGTTAGAAGATTTAATATTCTTGAGACAGCAACATTCCCCAGATTGAACTACAGATTCAACTCAATCCCTTTCAAACTCCCAGCTGGCATTTTTTTTTTTTTTTTTTTTTTGCAGAAATTGAAAAACTGATCCTAAAATTCGTCTGGAAATGTAAGGGAGTGAGAAGAGCCAAAACAATCTTAAAAAGAGCAAAGTTACAAAATTCACACTTCCCAATTTCAAACCTTACTATAGGGGCTGGCCCCACGGCAGAGTGGTTTAAGTTCCGAGGGCTCTGCTTTGGTAGCTGGGTTCACAGTTTCAGATCCTGGGTGTGGACATACTCCACCCATCAACCATGCTGTGGAGGCATCCTACATCCAAAAAAAGAGGAGGATTGGCAATGGATGTTAGCTCAGGGCAAATCTTTCTCAGCAAAAAAATAAAAAACTTACTACAAAGCAACATTTAATCAAGACAGTGTGGTACTGGCGTAAGGATAGATATATAGATCAATGTAATAGGATTGAGAGTTCAGAAATAAATCCTCACTCTTATGGTCAACTATTTTTTGACATGGGTGCTGAGACAATTCAATAGGGGAAGAATAGTCTTTTCAACAAATGGTGATGGCACAAGTGGACATCCACATGCAAAAGATTGAAGTTGGACCTCTATGGCCACATACAAAAATTAACTCCAAATGGATAACCAAGACCTAAATGTAAAAGCTAAAACTATAAACTCTTAGGACAAAATATAGGAGTAAATCTTTCTGACTTTGAGTTAGGCACAGTTTTGTAAATACAGTACTAAAAGCCCAACCTGCAAAAGAAAAAACAGATATATTGTATTTCGTCCACGTTAAAATATCTTGTGCTTCAAATGATACCGTGAAGAAAGTTAAAAAAAACCCCACAGAGTGGCAGAAAATAGATGTACACCATATATCTGATAAGGGACTCGTATACAATATATAAAGAACTCTTACAAGTCAATAATAAAAGAACAAATAATTCAATTTAAAAATGGGCAAGAATTTGAATTCCAAAGAAAATACACAAATGTCAAATAAGCACATGAAAAGATATTCAACATTACGTGATCAGGGAAATGTGAATCAAAACTACTATGAGATACTACTTCATACCCACTAGAATAGCTATATTAACAACATTTTAAAAAAGCAAAATAGATGTTGGTGAGGATATGGAGAAATTAGAACTGTCCCTACATGGCTGGTGGGAATGTAAAATAATTGAGTTATTTTCCACTCAATCCTTTGAAGATGTTGTTACTTTTCCTTCTTGCTTTTATTTTTACTGATGGAAAGACTGCTCCCATCTGATTATTTCACTTGTTCAGATAATGGGTCTTTTACTTGATAGCTATTATCATTCTTCTCTTTATCTTTGATAGTCTATAGTTTTGCTAAGATTTGGATTTGAATGTTCCTTTATGAATCTGCTGTGGACTTCTATCTCAAAAATTATTTTCTCCTTTGAGTTAACTTTCTTTTTCTTTCCTTTGGCTTTTTTTGGGGGGAGGTTAGAAAGATTGGCCCTGAGCTAACATCTGTTGCCAATCTTCCTCTTTTTGCTTGAGGAATACTGTCCCTGAGCTAACATCTGTGCCAATCTTCCTCTACTTCACATGTGGGATGCCGCCACAGCATGGCTTCATGAGCCGTGTGTAGGTCCACGCCCAGAATCCAGACTAGTGAACTCTGGGCCGCTGCAGAAGCAGAGTGTGCTGAACTTAACCACTATGCCACTGGGCCAGACTGAGTTAGTTTTCTTTTAGTTATATATTACCTTTTTCCTAGTGTAGCTCCATTTCTTTTTCTTCCTGGAATTTCTTTTAGATATGTTTTAATGCTTCTTATTATTTGCTCTATTTTCTTTCATAATTTTCATCTCTTTATCTCTTTTGACCTTTTGGTGACTTCTAATTATTAATCTTTTCATTAATGTTCTCTTCAGCTGTCTGAACTTCTGTTCAACCCATGTGTTGAGTGTTTTTTATTTTCAAGGTCTATAGCTTTCATTTATGGAAGTTCTATTTGTAAAAAAAAAAATTACCCTGAAGTTTCTATTCCTTCCTTTATCTCTCTGATTATTTTACATATGAAGGCAAATGCAACTTTGAAATTTTATATATTCCTTTGGAATATTCTTAATGATAAACGTATATATACCTTTAAATTTGAGAGATAAAGGAAGAAATAGAAACATCAGGGTGCAACTGCATATAATATATAAATATATATAAACTATTTTTAGAGTGTTCTTTTATCTGTGGTTTCCGAGGTCTGGATTTCCCAATTTATAACATCTACAAACTTTCTGCTCTAGTAGACTGTTTACTCACGTGCTTCAGAAAGCGATGACTATGAGGTCCTCTTCAGGCTAGGGAATAGGGTTGTTTCTTAGCAGGACCAGTGAATCCCAATTCATGCAGGTGTAACGATGCGGCATTTGAGTTTGCCTTTTGTGGAGTCTAGTAAGTTTCCCTCTCTGGACGAGTTTTACATAAATTTCTTGGGTTAGAATTCCCACTACTTTTGTACAGTGCAAACTTGTTCCCACACCTATTTTTTGAGAATTCTTGAGGGTTCCAATCCCTTGCATGTGATTCTTTTTCTGGTTTGGGTGGATGACAGGTTTCCATGCCACACCCACTAGCCAGTGGGGTGAATACTTTACTTTCGTAGAAAGGATGATCTTTTGCATCCCTAATCTTATGCAGGAAGCACGGTACTTTCTCCCTGGCATGCATGCAACCCAAAGACTAGACTCTTTGCATTCAGGCAAGCACTGAAACCTCAGGGATTTGGTCTACGTATTTGGTTCTGTGATCCCTGTTATCCATGTGGCTTTAGCTACCACTCACAGGCTTGGCTTTAAGTTTCCTCACCACTTATAACATCAGTGGATTTGTCTTTCTTAATTTGACATGTGTGTCTGGTTTCTATACTTTTTCTCCATTTTTGTGTGTTGGAGAGGGATGGGTAGAGGGACTTTCAGTGTCAGCTAAAACCACCTGATGACTGTAAATTGCCTTTCTCATTCTTAATGTTGTATATGTACATCTTACTTTCTCTTAAGTAGTCTTGTAAAAGCTTTGCCTACTTAGGTTTACTTTTTAGTCTTTTAGTGGCTTTCTGAGTCTAATGCTTTGTTAATTTATTTTCATTCATTCTTTCATGTTTTAGAAAAAAAATTAAGATTACAAATATTTCCCTGGGCAGTTATAGTTATATTCCATAAGTTTTGATGTGTGATAGTCTCATTGTTACTCATTTCAAGTAGTCTTTTCTTTCTTTTTGACCCATGTGCTATTTATTGCTATGTAACAAATCATCCCAAAATGTTTATCCCGACGTTTTTATCTCATAGTTTCTGTGCATTCAGGTGTTACTTAGTGTTCAGGCTCTGGGTCTTTCCCGAGGCTCAGTCATCTTAAGGACTAACTGGGAAGGGTCTATAGCCTAGCTCGCTCATGGGTTTTGGGGCAGGATTCAGATCCTTGCAGGCTATTGGCCAGAGTCTTCCCTCAGTTCCTTGCCATCTGGGCCTCTCCATAGAGCATCTCATGACATGGCAGCTTGCTTCATCAAAGACAACATGTGAGAGATAGAGATGGAGATGAATATGGACGTAGAGATGGAGACGGAGTAAGAGTAGGCTGGCAAGATGGAAGTCATTGTCTTTGGTAACCTAATCACAAAACTGATATCATATTTATCATCATAAAGGAATTTTCTTTGCCTTCTTTAATGATTTTATTTTAAATTCAATTTTGTCCAATATTAATATTGCAAAGTCTGTTTTTTTAAATTTGATTTGACTGATAGACCTTTGTCTATCCTATTCTCATGGCTTAATTTTATGTGTATTTCCTTTAAATAACAATCATGGGATTTGTTAATTTATTTGATCAGAGAATTTTTTTTGTCTTAATAGGAGGGTTTATCTTCTTAGAATTGTTTTGACATATGAGCTTTTTTACTCTTTTGCTTTCATATTTTTCAGTGGAAAAATATATGTTCCATTTTAGATTCTACTAGTGGTAGCCATTTATATTTTTCAAATACAATTTAAAAATATTATTTCTCTAATAGTAAGAATCAAGTAGAAAGTGCCATCATCAGAGTGAAAGTCAACAAGTGTAGCTTGCCGCTCCACCTCCCACATGACCTCTTTCTCCACTGTATCTCAGTCTGGCTTGCTTTCTTTTCTCTTCTTCTTCCTTCCTTCCTTCCTTCCTGTTTTTCTTCCTTCCTTCCTTTCTTTCCCTCTTAATTGCTTCTTTTCCTTTATCTTTTAAAAATATATTTAGTGATCGCCATAAATGCCAGGAATAGAGCATGGAAATTACTGCCTTCAAAAATAAGTAACTCTCTTTCTCTAGTATGTCGATATAGATGTAGATATACATAAGCTCTAGATATAGAGTTAGCTTAGGTGGTGATAATGTGTTATGGAGAAAGATAAAGCAGGATAAAAGGGATGTGAAGTGTCGAGTTGCTGAAATTATGTATAAAGTGGTCAGGGAAGGCTCTGTGATAAAGCAACATTTAAGCAGGGACCAGAAGGAAGAAAGGCAGCAGATCACGTGGGTATCTTGGAGAAGAGCATTCTAGGAAGAGTGAACATTCCGAGGTTAGAATGTTTGTTGAAGAACAGCTAGGAGGCAGTGTAGCTGGAGGGGATGAAGCTAAGGGGATACTTGTAGGATATGAAGTCACACAGTTGATGACACAAGTGGGGCCAGATATGTCAAGCTTTCCAAGACATTTCGAAAACCGTTACTCTGAGTAAAATGGGAGCCATTGCAGAGTTTCAGGTGAGCAGTGACTGGATCTGACTTTTGTTTTAATAGTATAATTATGTCTACTAGTGGCCTTAAGAAGATAAGAGGGATAACAGGACATTATTGGAGTGGTCTAGATGAAGGATGATGGTGGTGAAAATGGTAAGTGCTTGGATTCAAGATAAACTTTGAAAGCAAAACAGGACATAGGATTTGCTTATGGTTTGAATACACGATGTAGAGAGAGAGAGAGGGTTCAAGACTTAATCCAAGGGTTTTGTCCTGAACAACTGAGAGAATAGTGTTTCCATTAATTGAGATGATGTGCACTACAAGAGGAGTAATTTGGGGTGTATAACGTATGAATTGCCTATTAGATATCTTAGTGGATATGTTGAGCAGGCAATTGGAAATGCAGGGCATGGAAATGTGAGTCTAGACTTCAAGAGAAAGTTCTGAATTGGAAAAATAAATTTGGGGATTTATCAACACCTAGACAGTATTTAAGTCACGATGTCTCATTCCTGAGCTACTGGGAGTGAGTGTAAATAGGTAAGTACAAATCCATCAGAAGACTGAACTCTGCAGGAATTCGTATTTAGAGGTCAGGGAGGTGAGGAGGGACCAGCAAGGAGACTAATAAGCCAGTGCTGCAGCGGGAGAACCGAGAAACAGAAGAATCGTGGCAGCCAAGTGAAAAATGTTCCGAAGGGTGGAGTGTTAACTATATCAATGCTGCTGATAGGTGAAGTATGAGGAGGACTGGGAAGTGACAGTCAAATTTTGCCATGTGGGTGTCACTGCATACCTTTACATGAGCTATCTAAGTGAATGCAGTGCAGACAAAAACTTGATAAATATAGATTCAAGGGAGAATTGGAACGAGGATACAAAGATATCAGTTGCAACTAATTCTTTCGCGGTGTTTTGCTATAAAGGAGAATAGAGAAATAGGATTATAGCTGAAGGGGAAATGAATCAAATGAGTCAGAGAAAGCTTTTTATTTTTTGTAATGTGAGAGGTATTATGGCTTGTTTGCATACTGATGAGAATATCCAGAAGAGAGGGAGAAACTGATGACACAGGAAATATGGGGGATAATTGCTATAGGGGACTGAATCCACTGCACAGTCAAACACAGAAACAGAAGCAGAGTATTTGGGGACAGATGCAGGTGGGCTGGGAGATGTGTTGGTGGAAGCATTATAGAAATTCTGTGTTAATTACTTCTATTTTCTCAGCACAGTAGGGATCAAATATTCAGCAGAGGATAAATAGTGAGAGGAGGTGTTGAAAGGTAGAGGAGTGTAACATAATTGTCTAGGAGAGTGAGAGCGAATGGACTAGAGAGATGTAGTGAGCTTGAGAGACAGGTAAAAGTTCTCTTGAGGTTGGTGGATATAAGCTTTAAGTGAGACAGGTCAGCATGGTTGTGTGTTCTTCACCTGCCCCGTTTAGTAACCTGAGTGCCAGTGGGAATAGATTGAGAGTGAAATTTAATCAGGGTTAGTATTTTGTCAGATTAGTAAAATGGAGAGAGGCAAGGGAACTGGAGATATATGTACAGGTGAATTTGTGCCGTTGTTGGAATGAGCATACCAGAGGAAATGAGCTGTAAAGATAGAGAATGGTGGTTGGTTAGTTGAATGCTTTATATCAAATTTTTGGAGGAGGTGCAGTTATTGGTAACGATATGTTCTCGAGTTTGAAAGTAGATTCCTGAGGTAGTGTGGAGGACAAGCTGCTTGGAAGAATAGAGACCAAAGAACTGAGAGCATTGTCTACTGAAATTATTATCAATGTCTGTGCTGTCCAAAATGGTAGCACTAGCACACATGGCTATTTAATTATTTATTTAGAATTAAATAAAAGCCAAACTTCAGTTCGTTCCTGTTACACTAGTCACATTTGAAGTGCTCAACGGCACATGTGTGCAGTGGTTACCATATTAGGGAGTAGAGATAGAACATTTCCATCACTGAAGAAAAATCTATTGCATTGATCTACAAGGATATTGGTATTGATATACTCAATAATTATGACAAGACTAATTTTAGAGAGTGACAGTGAGTCAGGGCTCCGGTAGCCCTGACAGGTGTGGGAGAGAAGTAGCTACTCTTTGGGACGGATGACTGAGAGCAATGTCCTCAGGAGAGAATCAGATCTTAGTTAGAATAAAGAGGCAAAGGAATCATTCAGGAAAGAGCTGAATATGTAGGGATTGGTAGACATTGAAAGGTTTTTTGGAATTGAGGAGAATAAGAGACTAGATCAGTGTAAGGAGTTTACAGAGCTATACAGGGAGTAGTGTCCAGGTGAAGAAAAACGACCTCAAAGTCTTGACCTTCTTAAAGTGATTTAGATAAAGAACAGAGCATAATAAGGTCATTTCTGATGGTGTCTTAGGCAGGCTGTGTTGTTGAGGTTGTGAATACTGGTGGGAAGGATGACTAGGGTTCTAGTCAATGTTGGTATAGGGCTGGCAGAAGGGAGTCTGACTAAAAGTCACTGAGATATATCCATGTATATGTATACCATGTATATATACACATATATATATATATGATTAAGATCCAGATCTTATATTTTGGTTTTAACATCCAGATAACAGACGTGAAAATTATTTTTATACATTATGTAACTTTTCATGAAACAATTATCCTTTGTTTTCATATTCAGTTTCTTAAACAGCTGTATAACACTATTCAGACATTTTTAAATATGGTTATGTTTATGTTATGACTTCCAAATTTTTGGAGTTCCTGGTATTTCTTCATCTCAATTGATTGGGGAGTCACCACTTTTTTCCAAGACGGGTATGTGGGCAGCCTATTTTCTGGGATTTTTAACTTATGAGAATGCATTTGTGTTGCCTTTGTATAAGAACAACATTTTCTTTTTATTATATAATTTTTGGGCCACAACATTTCTCCTGGAACTCCAGGTGTTGTTCCATTATTTTCTAGAATGTAATGTTACAGAAAAGAAGTTTGCGGTAAATTGACTACTATTTCTTTGTTAGAAATGTCCTCTTTTATTCAGCCTGAATACCAGTAAGGTATTTTGTCTTTATCCTTGTACTTAAAAAAATTTTTCCAGTCTGTATCTAGAAATTGGTCTCTTAATTAGTTTGCCTGGAGTGAGGCTTGTTCAATACACAGCTCTTCCCTCAACACAAGAAACATTTCTTTCTGCTATTGTGTTCATTCTAGGCTCTAATTCTCCATTTTCTGTATGCAAGATGTTTCATATCTTTTCTTCTTATTTTCATTTCTTCACAGAAAATATTAAAGTTTTGCTTCTACAGCATCAGATCTGATCTTCACTGAATCAATTGTGTGTTTTTATTTTGATACCATTTTAATGTTGTAATTATATAATATTCAATGAATGAAATAATATGATTGTATACATTATGGAGCGTGATGAAATGAATACTCCTAATTTAACATCCATCTTAAGAGATGAGCACTACCAATACTTTTCAAGGTGTGCTCATCACCAATCCCATTTCTTTTTTTTGTTTTTTAAAGATTTTATTTTTCCTTTTTCTCTCAAAGTCCCCCAGTACATAGTTGTGTATTTTCAGTTGTAGGTCCTTCTAGTTGTGGCACGTGGGACACCGCCTCAGCATGGCTTGATGAGCAGTGCCATGTCCGCACCCAGGATTCGAACCGGCGAAACCCTGGGCTGTCGAAGCAAAGCATGTGATCTTAACCACTCGGCCACGGGGCCGGCCCCAAACAATCCCATCTCTTACTTCCTACCAGATGTTGGCATGATCTTGAATTCTGTGTTTACCACTCCCCTTGATTTTTTTTAAACTAAACTTTTTATTTTGGAATGGTTTTATACGTACTGGACAGTTGTGAAGATAGTGCAGAGAGTTCCCATAGAGCCTCTTGCTGTTTTACTCACAGGCTGCAATTTGAATTATCTTGCAATTATTCTGAATTTAATTCATCTCATTTTTACCTAGTCTTTTTTGGTTTGGTTTGGTTTGGGGTTTTTTTTGCTCTTAAAGGAGTCCATTTCTTCTCACATTTTAGAGAGGATGCTAGACAGTTTACCAAAATTTTCATCTGTGTCCTTCAACAAATTATTTTTAGAGTATATTTTTCTTCTGAGCCCTCTGGATGGTGATTTTTTGGTGATTTTTTTTTTAAACCTTGCTCTTTAGAGCTTATCCTTTGCATTTTAACGTTGCTGGTAATTAGAAAGCTAAGACTTTTCTTTTAAACAGATAATTATAAATTGGGAAAACTACTTAGCACTGCTACTGTCCTGTAACACGTGATCACAAACTGAGTGGCTTAAACAGCAGAAATGAATTCCCTCACAGGTTTGAGGGCCAGAAGTCTGAAATCAGCACCTCTGGGCTGAAATCAAGGTGTTGGGAGGGCTGTGCCCCCTCTCGGGACTCTGGGGGCGGGGATCAATTCCTTGCCTTCTCCAGCTTCTGGTGACTGGTGAAGGCATGCTTTGCCTTATGGTTGCATCACAGAAATCTCTGCCTCTGTCTTCACATCTCCTTCTCCTCTGTGTGCATGAGTCTCTCTCTGCCTCCCTCTTATAAGGACATGTCAAATTGCATTTAGGACCTGAAGCTTAATCTCTCCATTTCAAGATCCTCAACTTAATCATATCTGCAAAGATCTTTTTTCATTATGAGGGAAAATTTACAGGTTCCAGGGACTAGGACCTGATATCTTTGGGGGACCATTATTCTATCTACTGCAGAACTCATCTACTATGATCCAGCAGTTCTACACACACACACACACAACTATCTTTTCTACCAAAAGACGTGTAAAAAAATGTTCATAGCAGCATGACTTGTAGTTACCAGAAAGTAGAACGTATCTATTAACAGTAGAATAGATGAATAAGCTGTGATATAACCATAAAATGGAATACTTTATATCAGTGAGAATGAAAGCACTAAAACTACATACAACAACACGCATGAATCTCGCACATATAACATGACTGAAAGAAAGCAGAAAGAAAAGAGTAAGTCCTAGAAGTGTTCACTTATGTAAAGTTGAAAACAGGCAAAATTAATCTGTGGTGTTAGAAGACAGGATAGTAGTTACCTTGGAGGGGGACAGTGACCAGAAGAGGGTGGAAGAGGGCTTCTGAGGTGCTGGTAAGATTTCTTGATCTGGGTGCGGGTTACTTAGGTAAGCTCACTTTGTGAGAATTCATTGAGATAGCCACTAATGATTTGTGAGCATTACCAACAAAAGGATAATTAAGTTACAAAGAAAGCTCACAGTTTTCTCAGGGCCATGCAGAATCATGGGGCAATGGCTAGAATGGTTGGAGCCAGAAGAACAGGAAGGGGTCACAACTTTAGGTCAAAGTCAGGGTTTTAGAAGTTTGAGATGATCAGAGCCTGAGAACAGGTAGGTGGATGTTTAAAGGAGTGTCAGCTCCTCTCAAATTCCTTGAGAAAATGTATAAATAAATAAATTGCTTGATAGATAGACAGACAGATGGATAGACAGATAAGGTAGAGGTTTGGTCTGAATACAGGAAGTTGAGTCAGTTAAGCCAAGTCATTTACTATCAAGAACTATGATGTCCAATATGGTAGCCGTTAGCCACACGTGGCTATTTTTGACCACTTGAAATGTGGCTAGTCCAAATTGAGATGTTCTGTACAAAGACATAGTACAAAAACTTGCATAGTTTCTTTTTATGCTGATCACGTGTTGAAACGATAACCTTTGGATATATTGGGTTAAATAAAAACTATTATTAAAATAAATTCCATCCATTTCTTTTTACTTTTTAAAGTATGGCGACTAGAAAATTTAAAATCTCACTATGTGACTAGCATTTGTGACTTGCATTCTATTTCTACTGGACAGTAGTGATCTAGACCATGATAAACCTGATAAGCAGTTAATAGGTTTGTGAGCAACACTACTTAACTTTTTTTGTCCAGGCAGGACTTGGACTGGCCCTGATCAGGTTTGGCCCCATGACAGGAAGACTGAAGTGAGTGGAGTTGGCAGTGAGTTATTATGATTGAACTATTATTATAACTGAATGGTATTATAGTTGAACTATTATTTCTGAGTTTTCAAGTCTATGAGAAACCTAATCTTTCTAAACAATAAGTTCAAAATTAAGGCATCCTTGCTCATGTGGTGGTTACATAATCTGAACAGACTCAGTGTATAGTACTTTGTAAGCAGCTTTTTGGGAGAAGGTGGTGTGACAGAGTGGGCAGAGAATAGACAATAGAGTCAGACATTCCTGACTTGCAGGGGGTGTCCATTACTTATAGGCTGAGTGGCCTGAGTCCAATGACATAGTTGCGCTGTACCTCAGTTTTCACAGCTATATAATGGGCTTATTAATATCTACCTCATAGGGTAGGTATTAGATTTGAAATACTATATTAAGTACAGAGTGCATAAATGACACTCAAAATGTGGTAGTTGCTATTATTCTTGGGTTCATTAAAAAGTATGAAGAAAACACAAGGAACATTTACAGGCCTCGATGAGAAACATTCTAAAAGTTTTTCTTTGTAGATTCTTCGGATACTTTAGACCAACCTTGGACCATTCCAAACCTTTGGTTTCTCTAGCAAATAATGGGGATAAGCCCACACACTTGGAAAGCCACGCCACAGGAAGTCTTCTCCTTCTCATTGTGTACTTTAAGCTTCAGGGAATTAATCCTTGGATCACGAAGAATTGCTCTGCATTCAAAACACTCAGCAGTTTGCTCCTTCTGGTCCCAGATGCTGGCAGGCCACCCCATCAATCATCCTCACAGTCACCCATCAGCGCGTCATCTCAGTGTCAGAGATCTGTTTTGGCAGGCTCACTGCAGGGTACACATAATCAGCAGAGATGCCACACTTAACGGTGATTGATGCCAGTCTTTTGACAATTTCTCCCACCAGACCCCTCCATCATTCCACGGCAATGTTTTCCTGAGTGCTAAATAATTTCTCTGAATTATCACAGCCACTTTCTAGACTGACTTGCAGAGATGTCTTTTTGTCACACCTGCATTTGAAAGGATTTTTATCTCGTATGTCCTTCTTTTTTTTAAGCTCTGATGATTCTTTCCATGTTTCTGTCACTTTCTTTGTTCCTCATAGCAGGAAAAATTTTTTAAGGTAAACAAAAGGGATATTATCATCAGTCTAGTTGGGCAGATGTCAGAAATCCATTTCTAATTCTTCATTTGGCTGGCGGGATGACCTTAAAACTATAATTATTACTATGCCATTGTCATTACTATGTCTCTTCTATTAGACGTTATGATTTTTTTTTTTTTTTGAGGAAGATTAGCCCTGAGCTAAGATCTGCTGCCAATCCTCCTCTTTTTGCTGAGGAAGACTGGCTCTGAGCTAACATCCGTGCCCATCTTCCTCTACTTTATATGTGGGATGCCTGTCACAGCATGACTTGCCAACCAGTGCCATGTCCGGACCCGGGATCCAAACTGGTGAACCCTGGGCCACTGAAGCAGAATGTGCGCACTTAACCGTTACGCCACTGGGCCGGCCCAGAAGTTACAATTTTTAAGAATCTGAGATTTCAGCCAAATCCAAATAAGTGTTCCCCTTGCCCTTTATAATCCGGCATTTGATGCTGGCCGTAGAAGCCTTCCAATCCGCACTCGTGAGAGATGCCCCAGTCCTGCCTTTCCTTCTTCTTCCTCTGCCACTGCCCCACCAAACCCCAGCTCTAAGCCCAGCTGCATAACTGTCGTGGAACCATTAGTAGCTGACAAATTCAGACGGCCCCAGAACATATGGAAACAGCTTCCCTCTGCTCCCATTCTTATTCTCCTGCCAGTCACCTCATGCATTTCCACAACTTGAATTCTTCCTTGAAAAGCAGCCACAACAGTGGTCTCAGGAAACACGGGGTTAAGGAATGGGAGGTGGGTAGAGGGAAGGTGTTTTCTTCTTTACCGACGTGCTAAGCATGGCCACAGTATCCACACTATGCCGCCCAAACCAGGCTAAAACCTTTAGCAAAACTTCACTGAAAACTTGGGTAGAACAGGAGGGAATTACATCTCATAGGAGCTGAAGCTCAGATACTAAACATGACTAATCTCTTATCCATGAGGTTCCAGCCCCCTCCCTTGTGACCTTTGGATGCTTCACAGTCCAGCTCTGAACCTGCTTTCAAATGGAGAAAGTCTGCCATACTCTCTGGAACAGAGAGAGAGAGACAGAGAAAGAGAGAAAGAAAGAAAGAAAACCAGTTCCAGCTCTCCCTCCCTGTGTGGTCCAGGCCGCAAACACCTGGTTCAGGTCTGCTTTCTGAGTCTCCACTTTGCATCCCAGATCCCTTCCCCTCTGAGATGATTGGCTTTTGGGATGCTCACTGCCTTTATTAAAACAAAAACAACAACAATAACAAAACTAGCATTCCCTATCCTTGGTATTAATCCTTGGCCTTGCCCTAGAATCCCCTGGAAGATTTTCTATCACATCGCAAATATCTAGTACCAGTATATTCACCAATATCTAGGAAATTTGATTGGAATAGCATTGCTGTGGCATATTACGTTAATATACGGTTCTTGTTGGCTGTCAGCAATCAAAGTCTGGTGTCTTTATGATTCTTCCACCAGCATGAGATGAGATTATGTTCTAGAACTCTTCTTATCATCTTCTGGTTTCCAATCCCAATGAGAAAACACACACACACATATGTATCTTTCAAAAGCAATTTTCAGGGGAAGTGCAATCTTAATCTATATTTATGAAAAAAATTCCTGAAGGAAATGACATCTAGAGATTAAACTTCACCACAATTAAGATAAATTTGGTATTTTAATGGAATTACTTAGATTCTGCTTTTTTATTTTTAATTTTTGGCTTTGCTTTTCCTTTTCCTCACCAAAAGCCTATAGAAATGGCCTTTGTAGAAAGAACTATTTGTCCCAAAGAGCAAATCCAAGTCCCCAACTTCTCCTAACACTTGAAAGTTTGAGATTATAATTTTTTCCATTAAGGTTTCAAAACTCCAATTCATTTTTAGGGTACAATTTCAAAAATACCCTTCTCTGTAGGAGTTTCTATAAGAAGGAAGTTTCCCAAACATAAGAGTGCTGAGTCCTACCCAAGATGTAGAGAGCAGGAGATCAGTCTCCACCTTCCACAGCAAGCCCCAGGGGAGAGAGCCCTCCGTTGGTAGCCTGAACAGAAGTAAGATCCCGTCTAGTTAGAGCCAAATTCTTCTGACTCCCTCAATCTTCAAACATAAGGGAAGTGGCCAGCATGGAATGATCCAGGCCCTCCCTCCTGAATGTATTACAACTGTAATTGCTAACCCTGCAAATCAGGCTTGCATAGAGAATGCAAGCTGGCACAAGAAATATCTCTCTAACCACAATACCATCTCTTTAAAAGTAACAAACTACAAAGAGTGAGATGTTTTAATTAAATGAGTTCAGGAAAATGGTGTTTTTCAAATATGTTCAGCCGAGGATCATGCTCTGAGTCTGACAATACCAAGCTGCATGGTCCTCCAGGGACTTCAATGCCTGAGTGAGCCTCCCATGATGCCTTGCTAACTCCAAAGGTGAGACTCAGGCCCGGGGAGACGAGAGCCCAGTTATTCCAAGTCTGCACAATCACACTTTTTTTCTTAAATCTTTGGTCCCTAGGGACTACCTTGCGAAAGGAAAAGCCAATTTACCATTAAACATTCAATAAAGAAAAGACAACAAAGAAAATCCTCTTGTAATCACATTGCATGCTCAAGACACCTTTCATGGTAAGAACTGCTAAATTTAAACTGCAGATAAGGATGTCTTAGAATTTTTCTTTATGCAAACAAAGGATTTGCCCATTTTTTTCCCCTGGTAGGCATCTAATAAGTGTCATTTCTTCACCAGGCACTGGATGAGGCTCTGGCTACAGTAAGGAAAGAGCCTTGCTCTCTGCCAGCAGTGCACGGTGTCCTGGAGGACACACACGTGTAGTTTCCTCCAGTATCAGTCAGAATCAGACAAACACCAGATATAAAGCACAAGCAAAATACTATGGGCACCCAGGAGTAATAGTGATAACCACAATGATGTTAGGGGTAATGATACAATATTAATAATATATTAGCTACAGTTTTGAAGCACAAGCACTCTGATGAGTGATTTAGATACGTCGTAGTAGAATCTTCATGACAATCCTATGTGATGAGTACTATTATTATCTCCATTTCACAAATTTGGAAACTGAGGCATGCAGAGGAAGGAAAGACCAAGTAGGTTTCGAGCAGGCAAGAAGACTTCACAGAGGATATTACTGAAGCCGTAGCCTGGGAGGATGAATGGGGTTCAGATCGATGGAGGAGGAAGAGGGGAGAGAAGGAAGGCAGTTCAGGTCAAGGAAACGGCGCAAGATGTAAAGAACAGCACAACCAGAAGGATCCACAACTAGAATACACAACTATGTACTGGGGGGCTTTTGGGAGAAGAAAAAAAGATAGAAGAAGATTGGCAACAGATGTTAGCTCAGGTGCCAATCTTTAAAGAAAAAAAAGATGTAAAGAACAATCTAAGCAAAATGAAAAGGGAAATTGTGTCAAAAATGGAGGAAGGGTAGTGTTAGAAATGACAGCCAGTGTTTAAAACATCTGGAGCAGTATCACATATCGAGCAGACCGTCAACAAAAGCAATGTCGTGAGGTGAAGTGAGTGAATGGATTTCTTGGGGCCAGCCTCACTTTCACTTCTCCTGGGCTGCATTAATTGATATTTGCTTCTTGCCCACACTGCAGGCACTTTTATTATTATTATTTTTGATCCTTTAACCTGTTTCATAATTCCTTTCCTTTCTCCTGTAAACAGAAGAGAAATGCAATCACAGTGGAACAGTGGGCTGGGATACCAAACAAAAGCTTGAAATGTGAAAAAGGAAAAAAAATCTATCTTGTCAGCACATCAGCAAAATTGGATAAAAGTTGCCGTATAGTGACAGGTAGAAAACTTGGAGTGTAAATGAAAGACAAAACATC